TGGAATGATTCTTAGCTTAGTGACAAAATGTATGATTCTTTTATCTTCGGCTGCTATCTGAAAAAAGACCAAGTCCACGAATATGCAATTTAATGTTTTTTTTCCCCTTTCATTTCTGATGGTATCCAACAACCTCAAAACCGCATATTGGTATATGTGAATATTATATATTGTTCTCCACGCCATTTTTAAAAGGATGATACGGGTTTATTTTATTATCAGATGTTATTTAAAAGGTTCGAATATATGAGACCTTCCAATTGAAAAATAGCAATAGAGCTGTTAGACCAACCCTTAATTTTTCTCACAATTACTATGTCAATACTTGATCAACATGGGAGTATATATCGCATACTCATCAACGGTACTACGGTAGTGTGCGGAAAAGAGTTTGTGATATGAGCTAGCATGAAATCAAAGAAACAAGTAACAACAACATCGTAACACAACACTTTAGACTCTCATAGCTAGGTTCGTTAGAATTAGTTTTGCTAGACGTTTGTAATGATTATGAGGACTATAAAATTATTGTATATAAAATTTCTTTAGAGCAATGGAAAAGTCTCGACGAGACAAATCTGCAGAAAATTTCCCATTTCTATCACTCAACTCATCTCTTATTTTCTTCACAATTCATGTTCCATAGACCATAGTGCTAATCATGATCATACTTCCTTTTGGTTTAACAAATCCAACATTCATATTAAAATAGAAGAAAAAAGAAAAGCTCGGAGAACTAGAAAGATTAGTAGGTGAGCAGTCAGTATTTGCCGACAAATAATTTCTGCCTCTCCCACTTAACCCAGTGATTAAAAGGCCACCTCCAAACTAACCCATATTTAAAAAAACAGTACAATACAATTAACCCTGCTTTTGCTGTTCTTAGTGTTATAGAGAAAAGAGGGAAAACCCTATATCGTCTTCTCTTTTAGCCCTTTTTACTGTTCATTTCCACCTTTTTTTTAGGAGGATGGGTGAATATGATATTCTACTCCATCTTGTGGGATTATAAAGTGAGGGATCTAGCTAGCTGCTTTTAACAAGTAGGCTACATCATGAAAGAATGTTTAAGTTTGACATTTGAGTGCAAGAAGCTAAATTAATGCATAAGATATGTAAAATGACCATAATTGGCCAAATTTGGGTTTCCATGAAAGGCTTGGTGATTGTTTGCCATAATTGGGAGAGATTTTTTTTGCTTAAGTTTCAAAGGAAGGAAAATGGAAAGAGATGAGTAGTGAGAGACACAGCCCACATCCCTACATACCATTTTCAAGGACTCAGGTGTTACTCACAATTGCTTTTTGCTACTTCGTTTACAATCCTTTGCCTTCAATTCAGATGACTAAATAGTAAATAGTGTATTCAATTGTTGCACCTGTCAACCCTTTATGCATTAAGTGCCCTTATCGTTTTTCCGATTTCTTTGAATCTTTGTTCAATTGGAAATTGTAACACTCTGATTTCTTAATATGAAAATCATTTTTCAATACTCTGAGTATTGTGTTTCATCAGCCTAACTATTGATATATGACGAGTTACAATTTGTACTCCTGATATTGTTAAGGAATAAAGGGTGGAAATTGCACATCAATTTTAATTTCAAATCAGTATTTGTGGAAGATATCATCTGTTGGCAAATATTTTCAAGTTGACTCAAACAAGACGCCCACATATGATATGATTCTCGAGTTCAAACTCATGGACCTAAGCATGTGAATGTCCACTGTTTACACAAAGTGAAGGGTGTTGAGTCTTCTTCTCCTCTCTTGTTTCAGGGTTCTAGGGCCCAACTCTTATTCTTAGTTGGCTTAAGACAAAACCTATGAACAAGAACAACTTGTAAAAGCTTTCTCCTCCGACCCTAGGGAGAAAGTGGCTCTCTCCATTCTCAAGAAAATCATACCATAAATATGATTATTGAGTTTTCTTAACATTATTCCTTTTTTCATATGACTTCATCGTCAGATAATAAACATGAGTACCACTATCCAAAAATTTTTAATTATCTTGCAAAAAACTCATTCTAACCAATAACAAATCAAGCTATAGAGCAAGATTAGCTCTTCACACTCACAAATTCAGCACCCACTTTGGTATAGGAACAACACCAATACAGGACGGAATTAAAGTCAAAGCACCAAACATATATAGAGATTTTGTTTTATGCATATCTTGTGAAAAACGAAACTGCTGTTGTGGTTGGTTTGGATGGATCAAAAATTGGATCAATTTAAAAACAATGCCTCCTGTTAAATTTATGCAATTGTCTTGTTCCCACGTTCTAGGCATCCTATGATATTGTTTAGTACAATGGCAAAGACTCTAGCTACCTGCATTTTCCAAGTCTGGGGAATAATTAATTCAAAACAAAATAAATATTAATCCCAACTGATTAGTCTTGAGAACTTACATATTTGTAATCAAACGGTGGAAACCCTGGTTTCCAATGGACAAGTGTTTGAGAATTCTCGTGAGTAGTATGTTTGATATTTATTAACAATCGTTAGATATACAAAGAAAGACGAGATACATAGTGTATTGTAAACGTGATCATACCTTTAATACATTGTGAAGTACTATTTTCCATCAAACATGGCATGTTACTTCAGCCGGATTCCTCGACAACCTTCACTTTTGTTTATTGGGTCCTCGAGAAACAACCTTTGTTGCAATAATGGCGATCAATAAGGGTGGAAGTAGAGGAGAAATTTACCCAATCTTCCTCTGCATGAAACGTCACTTGAGGCTTTGTTGGAATGTTTAAAAGAGACGTTACCACCCACGAAGAAAATGATGGATTTGATAGGGAAAACAAAACCAAGAAATTTTAGAGAAACAATTCACCATAGCTATTCAAATCATAAGTGAAAGGATTGAGAGTTGCAGATCTTATGTTGGATTCAAGCGAGGTCCGTTAGTGTCATACGCACTTTTTCACAATCCATTATTTCAATAAGAATTTTTGAATTGCCACTATCAAATTATAAGTTTGTGAACTCATTGATTGTTTAGTTGATTTTTTATTATTGATTTAAATGTTTTTATATCAAGGGTCTCAATTTTTTGCCTTTCATAACCAAATCCCAAAGGAAATGTGGGATTTGCAAATTCGTGGACGAATTCGGATCTAAAAAATATTCAAATCCGTGGATCCTATGAATTTGTAGACCTCAACAAACAATAAATTTATATTAAGTCCATGATGCTTAAGATTTGAATGTAAGTTCATAACTCAAATCCCACAAACAAACGAATACCTGAATCTCTTATATCATTAGCTTTTCAACGTATTATACAAAGGACAATCTCGAATATATACTTCTCAATTCTCATTGAGAAAAACACAATAGCTAGCTAGCTAATTGTCCTTTCTCATTCCTTTCTTTCTTTCTACCCCCACCATGATAACAAAGAACTTTGCAAGAAATTGACTTCCACTTCTGCCATGGGTGGGTCTCCACCTTCCCAATTCCTCCAAACCAAATTTGAAAAGAGAAAAAGGAAAGAGAGATACAGATTTGTAGAGATTGCGGTCGACAAAAACACAAAGATTCATACAAAACAACAAGTGCCCTCTTCCTTCCTTCCACCTACATCAACAACATGACAGAAGAACAGTGTACTACTGTCTACTGGTCCTCTCACCAAGGTTGTTTTGTTTTGACCCACAGAAACACAATTGGGCAAAATTTGACCTCTGTTGAACTAAGATCAGATTGCTCATTAAAGGGAAATGATTTCCCTCTGTGTAACAACCATTTCAAACTCATATTCCCACCTTTAATCATGGGTTTGGATTTGTATTCTACAAACCACTAATCTACGGTTAATGATTCATCTTCATTTGTTTTCGATACAAAAATTTCAAAAAGGCAAATGATTATCAGCCCAATTTGGACCCCAAGAACCCTAGTCTGATTTGCACAGAGGGTTGACACTTTGAGCACTGCACATATGTGACACTTTCTTGTCTAGCAAATGACAATCAATTAAAGGAGTTGATCTAACAGAACCTTGAAAATTATCGTTCCGGTAAACTAACAACAGTAACACAGTAACTAGTAACCAAAATAACTCATGTTACTGAAAATGAAAAAAGGGGAGAGAACAGACATCTGATGCATTCCCATTCCAAGCCGTGGAGCCGCACTAGAACTATGTTCTCCTGCCTTGAACTAACATCATGAAAACCCCTTCTTTCTTAAACAAATGGAGGGGAAATCAGGCATGGAATTCACATTGGGGATATGATATGGTAATGATGGTTATGGAAAAGGCAGCTGGTGGGTAGATTGATGCTTATGGTTCAAGGAACTCAATATAAGAAAATGAAAGCAGGGAAGTTGAGGAGATCCACTTGAAAACAACACTTATCCTACCTGATTGAGAATTGCACTAAATTGGAATGGAATGTCAAAGTGAATAGGAATACTGTCACATTCTCAAGGACAGAAAGGATCCAAAATAAAGCAGACTGACTTTTGGGTTTAGCCTGGAAGATGTGCAACATAGTTAAGAACTTGCAAAAAATGCAGAGGGGAAAAGAACAGAAAGAAGAAAGCCCTCTGAATTTCCCACACATGTCAAGGAATTGTAAGGCACTAACGCTCACAACCTTTTCGACACATATATAACTGGACTTCGCCAAGACAAGAATTCAATTTAAATCATCGCATGAATATCATAGATAAATGGTCCATACATCAATTGATGCTATCTTTACATAGAAATACATATATAAATCTAATGAAGCCTTCTTTTTTTTTTTTTTTTTTTGGCTGCAAACTCAAAGAGACTCCAAAAAAATTTCCATCTTAAGAAGGAAGGAATGGGGAATGATAACTCAAAGTGAGAAAATTCCCCTTTCTCTTCTTACTTCCTTTCCTCCTAAAGTAGAGAAGTAATACCAGAATGAAATAATCAAAAGTGAAAGAATCCAATAAATCCTAATAATTTAAAGAACTCGAAAGAAAAGAGGGGGGCAAAGGGTAGAATGGTTACACTGAGGAAGTATCAACAAGAACATCATTCAGCACATCATCCTCTGCACTCCCCATGGCAAAAAGCTCTGCATCTTTATCTTCATCGGCCGAAAAATCGCGCCTTTCTAACTTGGAATGAGCTGCAACGAACACCAGCTTCTCTGCCTTCTCCATTGCTGCTCTTGACTGACTGCCATGGCTACCACCACCATTATGGCTACTACTACAAATCCATCTCAACAATGACCAATTGCACTTAAACCCACAAGCCGTGGCATGAAGGAAAATCAGCCTAACCGCAACTTTCCCTAACGACTTGAACTCAGTCAAATAAGTCTCCCAAACAAGCCTACTGCTTTGAGGGTTAGCAAGCCTCATCTTCCCACTAACCGGATCGCGATCCTTCATTTGAACTGCTCGTGCATAAACCGGGTCGAGCCCTTCGGTCCTCCACTTCATCAACTCCATCAATGCAATGTGAGCTTCCTCCCTCGAGACGAGCCGGGTTATGAGCTTGTCGACGTCCTTCTCTTGCTCGGGCGTCAAGTACTTGAACGGCGGAAGGTACTTCCCGCTCGAGTCCCTTAGCAAGTAGAGAGGATCGAGTATGTATGCAGCCGCCCAGGCTGGGTGGTAATTCTTCCTGAACCGGTTCTCGATCACTTTCTCTACCGGTTCAACCTCAGAAATGCTGAATTTGTCACACCATTGCTTCACTTTGGCCCTCAGCTCTTCCCACAGCGGCAAGCATTGTCCAACTAGTGGCCTCTCTGCCTCAATCTCACCAGCCATGTCTTTGATCAGCTTGATCAAAGAATGGACCGCCTCTAATTCGTTCCAAAAACCGACATCTCCAATCAATTCGGCCACTTCTCTAGCTTCCGGCTCCTCCATGGATAACACCAATTTGTAACATTCATCCAAAAGGACTAACTGCAATGCCCTGGAGGAACAGAGTATATCATCGAGCATCGAGAAAACAGAGGCGAAATCGATATGTTTAGACCCAGGCAAGGGAACTCTGAGCAATCCTGAATAACCATACTCCTGCAGTTGGTACTTGTGGAAGGTGGTCCTGATTTGCTGTTGACTGTTGACGAAAGTTGCTACCTTTACGCAATTCTCCGCGACCAATTTGAACAGGGGAAGCTCTCTGGCGAAATGCTTGATCAAGCTCGTAAACCCTTGAAGCTGGCAGCTTAGATTGACCATCCAGTGATGCTGATTCTCCAGACTCCTCAATGCTTTCGTCTTGAATCTGTCCGCCACAATTCCAGCGCACTGTTGACCGACATTCCCGCAGATTCCTCTCACTGTCTCCCACAGAACATCCTCTGCGTAGCTTGACGGCGACGAGCCTGTAACAAACACGGCGCGGCGGTAGAGACTCGTTCCGTTGGGCAAATTGACGGTCAAATTGACCAAATTGGGGTCCACCGAAGAGGCGTTACAGTTCGATTTCCTCTTCCAGCCGTCGGAGGCAATCTGGAAGAACATCGCTTCTCGAATCCTAGCCTCGGACTCTGCTCTGGCTTCCTCGTACTTGATGTCCAGCCTCCCACCGGCGAAATCGCGCCTGGAGACCGCCGGGAGCCCGACCTGGTGCAGAAAAGCTCGGAACTTTGGGTGCTCCAGGCTGGAGAACGAAACAGCGCCGCACGATTCGTACACCCAATCGGCCAAATGTTCGACGGCGGAGTCGATTTGGGTTTTGCTCAGAGCTGGACCTGGAGAAGTCTTGGGACTCTTCAGCTTCTTTACGCTGTCTTCCAACATTGCAAGCGGACCCAAATCGTCTTTTCCGCCGGACAGCATCAAATGCGGCTGGTGGTGGTGTTGGTGATGATGATGATGTGGCATGACGGCGGATTCGCCGGTGAACCTGGACGGATCCACGACGGTTAGCGGGCTGGGGCTGAGCTGGTACGACGTGGCCGCGGTGGAGGCAGGGGAAGGGGGAAGATTGGGGCTTTGTTGAGCAGAAGGAGCCGAGCGCTTCCGGCTGGTGGCTGCACCGCCGCCAGGGGACGGCAGAGCGGCGGTGGGAGAGACAGAGGAGATGGGTTTGGGAAGGGAGGAGTTGAAATTGGGGCAGGTGCCGCGCTTGAGGTGCTCGGAGGCGGTGCGGGAAGGGTTGGAGGCGGAGAAGACGGCGTCGCAGAGGGAACACCGGAGCTTGACGGCTTTAGGGAGTCCGGTGTCGGCGTTGTGAACCAACATGGGCTCCAGGTGAGCCCAATACCAAGCCCCTTTCCCCTTTACCGCCTTATTCCTCACCATCATCAGCCCTTCGTACCTCTTGTGCGCCGCCTTCGCCGTCGTCTCCTCCGCCGCGTTGTTGGGTGTCGCGGCGGCCGCGCCGCTGTTGCTGGTGGCTGCCATTGTGAGAAAAGTGGGGAGCTTTATTATGAGAATTGGGGGAGGGTTTCTGTTCCGGCTTAAAGGTGCGAGCTTTGGACCGTTTTTTATTTATTCTCTTCTCCTCCTTTGAGTGTTTCCGTCGGTTTGCATTCTAATTGGGAAAGAGCGCCGGCGGGGGCTGCCAGGTCTTGATCTCCCGGCGGGTGTCCATGGCCGGCGACCCTAAAAGTTCAGAGCTTTGGAAGGGCAGGGGGAAACGGGGTAATGGGGGAATTTCAAAGAAGGAGAGAGAAAAGCGGAAACTGTGGTAGAGAGAGAAAGAGAGGAGAAAAATTGGGAGAGGGAGAGAATAGTATGTAGTTCAAGGAGAACTAGAGAAGGGAATAAGGAAAGGGAGGAGGCTACGTGCCAGCAACGCGGGTGCAGTGTGCGCGTGAGGAGGAGATAAAGGGCTATGTGTTGATTGAAACTGCTACAAGGAAATAACACCACCGCAGTCCGCCGTACGAAATCAGCAGATTCAGCACTGACATCCGGCTGTCACTCGTTGCTGATTGGGGAAGTGAGGTTCACGCGCCATATAATAATAATAATGAATGGGAAAGGATTCTAGTTTTGGCATCCTTTTCATGTTCATTGGCCTTTATGTTTTTTTTCTTCTTCCTTTCCCTTTAATTTTGAATAACTTTTTCCTTCCTTGTTGTTGGGGGGCTCTTTGTTTGTGTGGGGAAAAGAGGGGTTTTTCAGTTTTTGTTTGTCTGTTTTCTCCCCCTTTTTACCCCCCATTAATTTGACAAACAGTTTCTTGGCTACAGATTCTCTTTCACCTTAAATTTCTATCTTACTGTAAAAATAAATCTACCTTATTGATTTCACTTTTGAACGATAACTTTGGATAGGTATTACCCTTGATTTGATAAAAGGAACTAACTTTTTTTTAATGGAAATCTGCTTTAAGGAACTAACTTTCAAATCTTCACAAACTTATATTCCAACTAACTGATTAATAAGAAAAGCATTCGTAACAGGCTCCAGTGTTTGATTTCATTGGAAGAAAGGATCAAATTTATTTTTGACACCCAATAAAAAAGTCTTTCTATTTGATTCATAGATAGAAGAAATGATAAATAGACAAAAGATAGATGAACGAGATTTTTTTTGGTGGAAAAACCAAAGAGGAATATAAAGACCTTTGTATATGTAATAGGGATTATTTTGGACCATGAATCTATTAACAAATGTCACCATAAAATTAGTAATCGATAATTTGTCAAGAACGATTGATCTGAAAACGCTCTTCTTTTACAGGTCTCTCATAATACTTGTTTCGTCCTCGAAACTTCATTTTCTGTAAAGATCAAAATACTTTGTATCTACAACTCTTACCACTTTTCTTTTTTTTGTAACAATTACCATTTGTTCTCAAATGGTGTGTTTATGACAACCCTTGTGGTTACTGGTCTTTGTGTTCGTAACAATAACTCATTTTTAAATACGTATGTTAAATCGATACAATTGTTGATTCATAAAAGGCTCAATTTTGTATGTTATTACACAATTTATTATTTCTAAGTATATCATCGGTGTATGGTCCAACATCGTTAGTCCTTGACCCCTATCAGAATATGAAGCTGATTGAATATTGATACTTGTAGAATCAGATGAATATTCAAGAGACTTGATACGGTACCAATGGCTTTGGCCATCAGTTATCTTTGACCTTTTTTTCCTGCTTCTTTTGTTGAATGGCATCAGTTTCCATTTGTGACTTGTTTTCCATGTGGGCAGGCTCAGAAAATGGACAAGAAAAGGCAAACCTAGCTAGGAATTTAATGAAGAAAAATAATCACTCATCATCATATGAACATGGGGAAAATTGGGTATTTCTCAATTTTTCCTTATACTCCTACTGACAGTCACCACACTCTCCACTGCACTCAACTTCAGCTGTGGTTTCTGCTGTGGTCTGCTTAGCAGTAAGAGAAGAAGGAAAAATTCATACTGGGCCAAGACAAGAGACAAACAAACAAATAACCAAGAAAAAAAAAATTCTGCTTCCACAATTTCTATTGAATTTTCCCATTTGTTTATTTGCAATTATGGCATTATGCTCTCTCTCTGTTGCATTTCCTAGTACGAATTTATTATTTGGTTTTTGGACGTATAGTACGATTTATTATTGCAAGTTGCATCATTCAGTATTGAAAGAAAAAAAAAGGTTGGGAGTTGAAGAGTAGGTAGCCGTGTAGTAGTGGTGTACATTTGTCATTTTGGAATTTTGGATACTCACAAAAGATTTGGAAAACAAAAAAGGGAGAAAAAAGTGGGGAAGTTGAGTTGAGTGAGTGATGGCTAATCAATAAAGAAGAGGAGAGAAGAAGAATCCTATTTGGCAGAAGACCAATGACGACACAAATCGCCATACGTTTTCATATTTTGGTATTTTGTTGACTGACTACTACTACTCCAACGACCTGTGGGCTTTTTGGTTTTGGGCAACAAACAAGACCAAATTTGAGCTTTGCCTTCATAGTTCATATGCCTTCACTCTCATATTACCTAGACCAACTCCAATTTATAGTGCACATATGAGTATTTGAAACAATGGAAGAAAATTTCTCCTCCAAAGTCCAATCCAACAAAATATCCCTCTCAAATTTAAGAAGAATAGACCAAGGGTCGGGCAAAAATGAGAAGAGGAAAGGGGATTATGACCATATTTGGTTTGAAAGGAAGAGGAAAAGCAAAGACGAGAGAGCGAGGTGGGCAGCCTGGCTGGGGAGGCGCGGCCAGACCACATGCATCGGCCTTTCCTCACTGCTCTTTTGGGTTTTTTTATGGTTTATCTGTTGAATTTAGGATATAATGCAGAGAAAAACATGGACACACTCTGACGCCTATAAAAAAATCACATTTTAACGACTATAAACTTTTTCTGTATATTAAGATGTTCTCTCTTGTATGTATTCCCGAAATTCTCTCAAACTCATTTCTCTCATTAATCAAAATCTTTGCAAAACAAAAATGTCAAACGAGAGGGGAGTCAATTGGCAAGCTGAAGAGCACAAGTACTTGTGCAATATTTGGGTATCGATATCGAAAGATGAAGCTATTTGTGGTCAGCAAAAAGGCGTGGGGTTTTGGGATGACGATTCTCGAATGAAAAATATTACTATCGACCTCGATTCGGTTAAGGACATCTTATGTGTTTGATCTTGATTATTTTCAAGTATTATGTCATCAGCTTTATCTTGTTGTTTCATCTTAATCATTTGTGTATGTTATATTTAAAAACAATTAGATCTATATAATAACCATGATTTAAACTCGTCTTGCATTAATGGCTATTTTCGACAATATATTAAAATGCACATAAGTATGATTTATGGGAAAGAGATTTAAAAAGAAAGTGGGAGCTAAATTGAGAGGGGTGGGTTGGAGTAAAAAAGTGAAAGAGGAAGCTAAATTTGGGTGTTTGGAAAGATGGAGAGCCAAATTTGGGCAAATGACTTGAAGTTAATCTTACTTGTGACCATCCAAAAAATTGTGGAAGGGAGAGTTCTCCTCATCTATCTATATTTTGGCCATCAACATTAGTTTCATTTCATAGCAATGAAAGTGGGGGTTGGAGGTTTATAGAGATAACAAGTCTAGATAGATAAGTGATATGTCCAAATAAGTGGAGAAGAAAGCCTCTTATTTAGAAGACCTTAGTTCCTAATTATAGACAAAGGCTTGTGTAGGGGTGGGCATCAGTCGATTCGGTACATAATCAAATCGAAATAGGACGAGACGAAAAGCAAAGAAAAATGAGGACCAAAATCATACCAAAAGCTTGTTTAGTTCATTTGATTCCGTATTCAATTTCGGTCCACCTTCATTCATTCTTAAAAGTTAATTAATTCATAGAGTAGAAACCGAATCAAAATATATACGATCTTGTTCGGGCCAAATATCGATTATTTGGTCCTGTGTAGACGAAACTGTTTCCCAGCTTGAGACTTGTGATACTTCATTGGACATTGCATGCACATGATGCCTCGGTATATACGTTTCGAGTGGATTATGATTGTGGTTTCGACCAGATTGCGTCACATTCACGAGTGTAAAATAGAAAAAACTTATCCTCATCTGTTTAGATAATTTATCATACTTGTATAGTTGTATTAGAGCTTCTCTCTTAGTCGATATGATTCGATCTTATGACTGGCATTGTGGGTTTCAACCTTGCTTGATAATATTTACATGGGCGATGGTTGCAAGGAATCTACATAGTGCACGATAACATTAGAGAAAATGTTGGAACCACCAAATGAAGCAACACCAATGTCTACTACATTACTCAACTAAGTGAATCTTGTAGGATTAGATGTTGAACTTCTTTGGCTTTAATTTTTCTCTATCATGGTAAACGAGGAAGGTTCCCAGTACTTCTCTAGTGGTAGGGGTGATTTCTTCACAACCTTTCTTCTCATCATCGCCATGAGGTTCTTATTACTTATTTTCTATCCCCCCTTTTCCATCAATATAGTTGGATGTGTCTAAGAAAGGGATTGTATCGGAATTGGACTTAAAATACTTTCTAGATGTATTACTTTAGCTATTATATGTTGGCGTGGAGATGACTTATACTATACAAGTACGCTAGATAACCCGAAAAACATTAACAATTTGTACAAAATAATATCTGAACTCTGAATTAAATTATTGAAACTTCTTCACAAAATTAGTTTCAATATAATGGGAATGAACTAAAATGGGGAATAGAGTTGAGCTTACAAAGCTCAATGGAAGGGGGAAAATAGTGCAATAGACAGCTAGTATTGGTGGTTGAACATTAACCATGAAGTGAATGTGTTGTTAGACCCATGCGAGAAGCATTTTCCCTTGTGTATGAACTATGAAGTATATAGTCATCCAACGCGCATTAGAATTAAGTACTGCGGTGAAGTCATCATATGTGAGAGCTAATATGGGCGAGCAGAAGGGTTGTGCGCCTATCGCTTTAGTGAATCTGGATCGTTTAGAGGATTTGTTCCTCGACTATTACACTCAGGTGGCACGAGGTATCATCTAATATGTCTCATTGGTGTCCAAAAACTTGTGGTGGGCCTATGTGACGTAATTTTTATGCTCGTTATAGCATCAACTTACTGCATCTCCAACAAATTTGTTGAACCATTGTTGTACTACCCACTTAACATTATTGTTCTTACTCATCTAATATGATATTGAGTACAAGTTTACTCTTTTATATACAAGCTTGGTCACATGTCATCATATTAAAATTGATCTTATGTGTCTTTGTAACAACTTAGACAATAAAGGACCTAGCTAGCTGCTAGCTTGCTAGCACGGAATTGATCAAACAATGAAAGTAATAACACTGAAACCACCGCATCATTGTTGATAGTTTAAAGTGCATGTGCGAATAATCTTTGATCATGATAATTAAAGCTCTAGTGAATTACGTTAGGTTTCAAATGCAACATTCGAATTACAAAGGCAGGTAAGGTAAGGTAAGGTCCATGTCTGCATGTTCCATTTATCACCTACCACCTCCTTCTATGCTAATTGCTAGGGCATATGTTACAATGAGAACAAAGAAAGTTAATAGATGAATTAGCTTTTCCCCCATTACTAAGCATGTTAAATTAATTATGATTTGTGTTATATTGTTATTTTAGTTTTGAGCTCGATCGGTTGGTTGGAAGATGAATTCTTTTTCATGTTAAGATAATATTATTTATAGTACCCAACGATAATGTTTTTGACACACATGAGATTGTTGTGTACGATGGTGATATAAAATTAAATGATATTAGTATAATTTTTTAATTTTGTAGAATAATAACGTATCAAATGTGTTATGGGATTGGGGGTATAGAACTGAATAATAATGGTATAGTTTAGTAGCATTGTCAAATAAATGCTGCAATATTTCCACACTTAGGTAAATAGAATCTGTCCAGTTGAATGCAACTTTATTACCTAGAATTTCTTGTGATGAAAATGCCCCCAATGTATTCTTAGGTCATTTTTATTGTTAAGCCTCATTTTTGTTTGGTTGCTTTTAGACTTTCATTTCAATTCGAGATTCTCAATTACCTAATTGTTTGGTGGCACTTCAGCAGCATCCATCCCAGTCCAACAAATCAGATGTACTTAGTTTCAAGAATTGAGAAATAATAAAAGAAATTTAAATCTCGTAGGAAAAGTTCAATGGACAAGAAATGGTCTTTGGGGTTGTCATTTTCGAACTAAACTCCAGTGATAAACTAGGGCAAGTTTGGCCTTTCCTTCGAAATAGCTCTTTGTCTCTTCTCAAGGGCTCTACGTCTTGCTCGATAAGGGCAACATCCTTATACTCATTTAGTCTCCTTGTTTTGTGCGATCCTATTTAATTAGTGAAAGTTATTAATTATTATCTGTGCTACGAATTGAAGAGACATAAACAAAAGAATACAACAACAACCTATGTACCCATCAATTTTGAATACATACATTTGATCTCTATATGCTTAACTTGTGTATCTGGAGTGTACTGAGATAGAGAGGCAAAGTGACATGTATTTTGACATGTACTAGATATATCTTTTGTCACATTTGTGCCATTAATTAAGTACCCAAGTTGAGTTCTAGGAATCTTACTATCTCCCACTCTTGATGGGGCACAATGTAATGTAGTTGTGTGTTATATGTTGTTGGAGTACATAGGTAAATTTCATGTGTACATGTGTCGAATTTTTAGCAATGCAAGGGAAGATAAATTACACATATACAAAGCATTATATCATTTGGCTTAGCTAGCTTTCTTAGTTCAATGCTAACTTTTGTTAAAGACAAACATATAAAATGGTCATTTTCATGAATTTCACGTGCTTTGTTTTATAATATGCAAAACGTTCGAAGAATGATAGGGTAAAGGTAAATAAACTTTGTAGTATATTAGCATTCGGGTTCTTGTCAAAGTCTCTTCATTGGAAGAGTTACTTTGTGTTTGGAATGTCCAAAATTACGTTTGATCATCTCCTTAATGAAAAATCAATCTAACCTTAGGTTGTTTGGGTGCAGGTCAATGCAGCGGTGTATAGATACGATGTGTAGGGCGATTAAGGAAAAGAGGAGACATGGTATAGACATGTAGTACTGCTAGGAATAAGAATAAGACAGTAAGGCATTCGATTTTACCAACACATTTTTTATTGAGTTTCGGAATGATAAAAATTAAGACCGTTTAAAATAACATATTTTTGAAATAATTATTGGAGTAATTGAAAATAATTGAAATGTAACATATTTTGGAAGTACACACATCTATTTTTTCTATTCTAAAACAATTATTGGAGAAATCTTGTAGGGTACTTTGTGGAAGGGTGAATTCAAATAATGAAACTTCTTTCAGGTGAATTCAACATAATACCTTAATCATTGAACTACAACAATATTCCTGGTGTTTGTCTAGTGTATATACATTAAGCCATGTAAATTGTAATTAACGTTGGTACCAATTGTGAAACACATTCGATAGGATTTCTGTCCATTGTCTTGAATTTCCTCTTCATGAAACTTGTAAGGACTGTATTGTCCGTAGACCTTTTTTTTTTTTTATCGTCCTATATCTTATCATTATCACTATTGTCATCATGATATTCGTTCCTCATTTTGGTTAATAATTACAATGAAATCAAGCACAGTTGTTAAGTGCTTTCACCTGTTAGGTGCCTGATCAACAACAAGATAAAAAGAGATATTGGGGAAGTTGAATCAATAACAATGTTGGCCAAAAACCTCACCCTTAGTCAACGGGGGAGTCAAAGCCCTAGCATCACCAAATCAAGTAAATTTTTTTTTTCCTTTCCCCCACACATTAAAAAAATTTCACCCTCTCCCCACCACTTCCTTTATTAATTCAAGTGGGCCAGAAAGAAAATATATATGATAGATATTAGATAGGGAGTGATATTTTGCCAAAAAGATTGGGACCCATGATTACCAATTGATTTCCAACACGTGTCTCATCATACAAAGTGGTTAAAAAAAAAATTCTACAACCAAACTATACACACCAGTGATGATAAGGGTCTGACGTTAGTAACCTAACCACCCTAATGATGCCCTGAAAAAAGTAACCAATTAGACTGAAAGCCAAATTATTGTGTCGTTTCCCTTTTCTGTTGGGAGAAACAGCAGAATGGTTTTGGGTCATTAATCAAAACCCTACAGAGAAGGTAAGAAGCCCCGTAGTTTTTTAGGATTAAAAGAACAGCTTTCAGTTACCTGCTGGTTATTTTCAACATTCACTACTTGAGAAGGAATTACTTACTGGTGTTTGATCACTGTGGTGGTTGTAAATTGTAATGCTCGGATTTTTTCCTCAGGTATCCAAAGTGGGAAACAATAAGATACGAGTATATATGATCTTCGCAGGTCAAATCATAAAACAAGATACAAGTAAGACACGTTGGTAGACCAAGATGCAATCCATCGATAAAAATGACTTGTTTTGCTACGACATGGACAACCATATTATACTCACGTGGTGCGAAATAAGAGGGTTTGGTTTAGCCACTCATTTTTATATTAACTCGGACATAATTACGCCCTGTGAAAAGATACTTGGCACAAATAAAGTGCATGTTAAGATATATGGAGGAGAGTGGATGTTTTTGAAGACGTGACTTCCTTATCGTCGACAAAAAATGCCTCACAAAGTTGTGTTTAGATGGTATTGAAATTTGAATCAAATTGTATAACGAACCCAATGCCCATGGCCCATGAATGGCTCACTGTCTAAGGAGTAAGGACCAAAATCCACATTTACATATTTGGACGGGCAGTACCAGCATAGTGGGCCTGCAAGGCCCAGTTAACGGTCCAAGCTCCAAACTTCAAAACCGTATCACACACAGCTTCAAAGAGTGTTCAATTTGGTGGTGGGTTAGATGGCAAAATTCAAAACTGTCATTGGTACCGACTTCGGAGTAGTGCCCAGCTAAGGCCCGTTAAACAAATGTGAAGCCCAAACCGTTTTTTAAGTTGGCTTTTACCACAAAAACATTTAATCAATAAAATAACAACGCCCACCGTGGGGCTCGAACCCACCACCACAAGGTTAAGAGCCTTGCGCTCTACCAACTGAGCTAGACGGGTTTGTTGAACCTATGGATTTAATTCTTGCTCAAATTACTTCCGGTGACTATTATTGCAAAAATATCTATATTGGTTGATCACATCCCAAATCTAATCGGAAGTCGGAACATTGTAAAACTCGAATTCGATAAATTTTCGGTCTGTATGGGTAAATCTCAAATTCGAATATTGCAGATAATGAATGGACATAGTTTTTTTCTCTATCCAACTCGAACACGTCCGATTATATATGTGTATGTATTTTATTTAGAACTAGTCTTTATTTTTTCTCATTATATTTGATATTTTCATAAACTTGTGTTCTTTTCGACTATTTTTCTTAGGTCTAGTAATTTATTGTTGTACTTTCACTTATATAATATATTAATATACGTCTAATTGTTAACATTTTTATCGAAACTATGAAGAAAAACTACTACCTATATATAACCATAAATACCTGAAATCCGATCGTTGAGTATGAACATGGTTTCAATTTTCTACACTATACTTGTATGTATATGAATACGAATATAACTAAAACTCGAACTATTTTGAGTAGAGTCATTAATCAATAGGGGTGGTAAACGGTAATCCGGTAAACGGTTTACCGTTTTACCGAACCGGTAACCGGCGGTAAACGGTAAACCGTTTACCGGCGGTATCGGTAGTCGAGCGGGAAGTTGGGGGAGTCGGTTTACCGGACACGGTATCGGTAAATACCGACGGTAATTCGGTATTACCGATACCGAATCCCCCCTCCCTACTCCCTAGTGCTGCGCTGCGTTTTGTTACTTTATTATGAAAAATATTACATCATTATTCACAAATATAAAATATTACATACATGAATGTAAGTATAGGCTTCAAAAATATTGTAAATAAGAGTTAATAATAAATTATTAATTACAAAAATGATGAAAAAAACTCAAAAAAATCAAAATATTACAATATCACCCCACTTCCAGAGATTCGGTTCGGTAAATATTCGGTAAACCGACCGAAAAAATCGCCCGAAATCGCTTCTCACGGTATTTCGGTAATACCGGTTTGTTACCGTTTACCGGTAATTCGGTAATCGGTAACCAGTTTGGCCAACTTCGGTATACCGAAACCGGTAAATTCGGTAAACGGTAAATTGTTTACCGACCGAATCCCACCCCTAATCAACAATATCAACCCAACCCTACATGAAAATGACGGCCCTAAGAAAGCTCCCATGTTGACGGAAACAGCACACTTATTGATTCACCACCTTCAACTGAGATACAAATGCAATCCATACCGACAAAAACTCTGCCTAGGCTCACACACCACAAGCTAACCCAACTTATTACTTCCGCCATGTTAACACAACCTTGAGAGCTCTGATCACGTTCTAGTCCGATTTGAATCCTCCATCTCCGTCTTCCCCACCATTTACTCCCTCTCGCAGCTGAACTCGCAGCCAAAAACAAACAAAAAAGCAATGTTAGAAGAACTATCCGAACCACAACATCATCATCATATGTATTTTCATTTCCAAAAATGAAGATGCTTTTGATGTTACGTTCTGAAGGGCCTTCTTTTGATATCGGTAACCCTGAACAAGAAGAAAAAACCGTAGGCAGAAACAATCAGAAAACTTGAAAAAATGTAATTAATCACATAATGCTCAATGTTGATTTTGGGTTGGTTACTAGTGATCACCTTGTCGGTTCCATAGATGTAATCACAGTAAGTGAACACCGACGCGAAGTTGCTCTGGCTTTGGCCCCCAACATAGTGATGGTAATCATGGTGATCCGCGCCGCCATAGAATGGTATGTATTTCGTCACACTCCATGGGAAATCATATCTGCACCACCACAGATCAGAATTCAGAACCAAACCCAAGTTGTGAAAAGCAGAGGAAAAGTGTGGAAAAAGCAGCAGCAGCAGCAGCGTGCATTACCCACTGTGCGTATCTATGGCCTCGATCTGCCGCAAAACGAACCAGAGCCAGAAAGTGGTGATGTGACCGGGAACCATCGCCGGTCCCAGAAAAGACGGGATCCCGAGGATCAAGATCTCAGCCCAGTGAGCATATGGCGCAGCAAATGCAATTGGGGATGTGTAGTGGTGGTGAACCTTGTGGATTTTCTCGTATCCCCATTTGCAATGAAGGAATCTGTGCATCCAGTAATGTGTGTAATCCTCAATCAGAAAGTAAACCAGCAATTGGGCAGAAATTTCCCCAATTGATGGCAATGGCAGCCCTGTATGTACCCCAACAGCCTGGGTGCAAGCAACCAAAACATGTGTTGGGTTTTGTGGTTCAGTAAATCTCGTAAATCTGCGTGTTGTTTACTTTCTTTTATTGTCGATTTTCCCAATTCGAAGTTTACCTTGACGGAAGGGTAGGAGAGGAGCTGCAGGGGACCGACGACGAAGAAGAAGGAGAGCATGACGTCCTTGTAGCAATTGAAGATGTCGGCGGCGGACGGCTGGATTTTGGGCTGGATTTTGTGTTTCTCGAAGAAAGGGGATCGGAGAAGCTGGATGAAGACGAAGGGGAGCGGAGCCACGGAGAAGAAGAGGCAGAGGAAGAGAATGTTGTGGCAGGCGAGGACGTCGTCGGACTTGTCGGCGGAGTAATTGAACCAGAGTGTCTCGGCGTAGGTCAGGTTGCGGCCCAAGTGGGCAGCCGCCGCCTCGATGGAGTTGTATGGCAGCATTGTGGAAGAGGGACGGCGGCGGAAGAGGAGGTTAAAATGCCCGGCGAACTGGGTAATTGGTGGCGGATGTAGTTGTGGGACAAGGAATCAAATGCTAGTATGCTACAATGTGAGGAAGAACTGGGAGAAGCCCGAAATTTGGAATGAGGGAATTTACAGAGAGAGTGGGAGATTGATTTGTTAGCGATGAGGAATTGGATTGATGATTTTTGTCTGGTTTTAAAGCCGCCACCAGTCCATGCAGACTGTTCCTTCCTTCCTTCCACTTCCGGTAGATATTAATCTAATTTTTAATTTCATGTTTTTTTTTTAATCCCTAGACCTGGACTTTCTAATTATTTCTGACCGTGAAAAAACTTCAGTTTAGTACCTAAATCTTCACGTGTTGATTAGTTTGGTTCCCTTGCACTTTTTTGGTTAAAAACAAGAGGTGTTTTAGTCATAGTTAGTAAAATACGGTATGAGAAAGTTATATATAAAATACGTATGGGTATTTTACTCTGAGTTGTTTCTTCAATCGAGATATCTCTAGTTCATATTGAGCTCTTAGATTTATGAGATGCTCTAGGCTGATGTTTGTTTCGGTCATTTTCTAACTGACACATTCCTTCACTAATGTTCTATTTTGTGGTTGATATGCAGGTAATTATCTGGATGGTCAACGCGAGAGATTTTCTCTCACACGATGGGACAGGCTATCCTGCAAAAGATTCATGTGTTACAATCATTATTTCAGCGTGCTATGTTTCATTTCGCGCCACGTAGGTAAACTATAGATGCCTATATCATGGCAAAACAAACTCTTTTGTCATTAGTCCGTACACTTGTCGACCAACTTTTTTATTTTTTTTATTTTTGTAATGTGACCTACATGCAAAAGTCTTGTATATTCTTGTATCTAACTTATTTCTCTTTTGCGTAAATATAAAAAAAAATATACACATAGTGTGTCAATTGATCACATTTACTTTTAAATGTGGATTACTTAGTTGATCTAGTGGACCAAATGTATTTCCCGAACTCGATTAATATAACCTTTGCATGTGAAGTTAAATGTTTTGAATTCAATTATTAGGGGTCGTTTGGAGAGCGAGATTTAGAGCGTGGATTCATTGAATCCGTAGATTTTGTAGAAAGTTATGTTTTTTTGTTAATTTTTGTATTGTGGATTTTAGTTTTAGAGATTTCAAAAATCTCTAAAATCTACGAATATCAAATCTCTCACAACCAGAGAGATTCTATATCTTGATTCGTGATATTTTTTTCTCCTACCTTTTCTCTTTCTTTTATTTATTTATCATATTAAAAATATTTATTAACAAAGTTTTTAATATTTCTCAAACCACTCAAATTTTTTATTAAGGATAAACATGTTATTTAATATAAAATTAATTATTTTTATTTTCATTGGATGTTAACAATCACAGTTACCAAACAATAAATATTTTAAAATCTATTTTCAACAATCCGAAGAATTAGAATTTTTAGATTGTTGACAATCTATAGATTTAAAATCATATTCTGCAAACCACTCCTTAATATATTTAGACAAATAATAAAGACGAGAGAGATTATTTGATGAGGAATTTTACAATGTTATATAGTATTGGTGCTATAGGTTTTTGTCTTTATGATACAGCTTGAAATTGTATTTTTAACGTTATGGTACAACTTCATATTGTAACTATATTTTTTGTACAACTTGAACTTGTACCTTTATGTGATGGTACAACTTTAAGTTAGTTGTACCATAGCATAATGATACAAATTCCTTTATGGTACAACTAGAGGTGGCAATTGGATCGGATTCGTGGATTCGTGGATTGGATTCGTGGATCCATGGATCAAATGGATTGGATTCAATGGATTGGTGGATTCATGGATTGGTTCCAATGGATTGGTGGATTGATCCATGAATCCAAATAACATCCAAGGCATGGACCAAAATGTAAATTTTGAAAAGTTTAGGTACTAAAATGTCATAATGAAAATTTTTAGGTACCAAAATGTAATTTTCCAATGATATTTTTCATATAAAAATATAAATTTTAGGTACAAAAATGTAAAATATAAAAAATATAGGTACCAAATCGTAATTTGTCATTTGGATCCATGGATTGATCCATGAATCCACCAATCCAATTGGATTTGGATCAAATGGATTGGATTTAAATGGATTGGATTAGGTGGATAATTTGGTGGATGGATTGGATTGGATTCATGGATTTGGATCCTAATTGCCACCTCTAGGTACAACCTAAACTTATACATTTAATGTTATAGTACAATTTCAAGTTGTACATTAAAGCACCAATACTATATAGCATAGTAGTAGTGCTCTTATTTGATTCCATGGAACTTGGGTTGTGATAACTTCGCGAATTATGTATGCCTCGAAGTCATAACTTAAAATGGTTGAGCTTTTAGGTTGGGCATCTAGCCAGAAAAGAGTACTGACCTCAGTCAAAGAAATCGTTCAAGCACACCATTGCCCGAAAATCTCCTCCGTTGATCCTCCAATGTGTGTTTAGCTGTGATATACCTATGGAATGAATGGGAAATTAATTTCGTGTAGTCATAAAAAGCTGGTTAGTGATAGTTAGAAGGCACTCAAGTCAAGTAGCTAACTTAAGTGGGGGCAACTCTGGTTGTGGTTTGGATAGAGCCAGCATGCCTCATTTCTGATGCCAATCCATACCTAACCTAATTGATTGCAGCGGTGTCAAGAACATAATTCGAGTTATTGGGGTCTTATGTTAGTTATTAACACACTTTCTTAAATGAAAGCCAACCAACTCAGGAACGGATTCCGGCTTGGGGGAATGCAAACTTTTTAAATTTATATTCAAAAAGTACCGGAAATTTTTAATTTTTTTGATATTTTAAATGAGTTTAATGTTTTTTGCGGGATCAAAATAAAATATAGTCATTAGTATTTTCTTTCTATATTATTACTTTGATTAAAAAAATTGGTCCCCCGAACTTTAAATCCTGGCTTCGCTCTTGAGTTACTTACAAGGGATTTCGTTTGCACATGTTCTGAATGCAAGAATTAATTAATATATAAAAGTCAAGGTTGTAGGTTACTATTCATTAGTGGCTCTCACACTCTTCCAAGTGCAAGTGTGGAAGTTTCAAGCCCTTCTTTTACTCCATTCTACAACCCTTGTGCTTAGTTCTTTTTCGCTAATATATAAAAGCCAAGGTTGTAGGTTACTATTCATTAGTGGCTCTCACACTCCTCCAAGTGCAAGTGGGGAAGTTTCAAGCCCTTCTTTTACTCCATTCTACAACCTTTGTGTTTAGTTCTTGTTCGCTAGGTTTTGGTTTATGTCTTTTTGCACAAATCATCGTCTTTGTGTTTTGTTATTGTTCGCTAGGTTTTCGTCTATGACATTTTGCACAAATCATCGCCGCCTTTGCCCACCATTACTCTTTAAAATATTTATTTTCCTGATACGCGAAGCGATAGCGAGCGGGCTTTTGCTAGTATCATGTACTTCATATATAAATGAGGTCACCGGAATTCGAAAGAAAGACATCTTCAGTCACAAAAAATTACGTTAAGAATAAAAATATCCTAATAGCTCAAATGATAGAAGTATTAGAGTATGGGTAGTACGAGTAGTATTATGTTATACTACGAGTACTGTTATGTAATTGAGCAGTGTTATATTCCTTATTAGAGTCGTAGAAGTTAGGTAATTTCCCTATTAGTGTTAGGGTTATTATAGAAGTCAGTCTCTGTACTCTATATAAACCCATGTTGTTTCAGTAATAATAGACAACCGTTTCCACCGTATTCAGATTTCCTAACATGGTATCAGAGCCTGGTTCAACAACCTAAACCAGAAAGCCCTAAACCTTCTTGTGTTCCGCCGGCCGCCCACCATGAGCGCACAGTCGCCCGGAATGATCATGTACAAACATTGATCAGATCTCTCCCTCTCTCCCAAGTTATTGTCTCGTAGCTTAGTAGATTGAAAAGAAGAAGAAAAAAAAAAAAGAAATCCCCTAGCGTCCCTTCCCTTCTTGTCCAGGGTCTTTTGTCGATTGTTGCCGCCTCCGCCGCCGGTTGAGTTTTCTGTCCACACTCGAGTTGTCGATGAGTCTCCGCTTTATCTCTTCAAGTCTGCACAACATGCGAGCTGAGCTACTGTCCGTGGAGTACCGGCCGGAGATTGCCACTAATCACCATGGTGTTTATGGAGTCCAATTATCAGGTTTTCTTTTACACTTGATACTAGTAGGGATGATGATTAGCTATCGACGTGAATGATGAAGTGGGATATGGTGATTGGATTAGCTATGGGAATCTGTGAGTTAACAGTTTTGGCTCTCGGATTTTTTTGTTGTTGGGATTATTGGGTATTCATCCTACTTCGTCTTCCAGTGCCGTTTTTTTTTTGGGATTGGTGGATATCGGGTATTCCTTTTATTGGTTTCGATGGTGATCGGTTATGACGGAGATAACAAGTGTTTCGGTTGGAGTCGTTCAAGTTCGTCTCAGTTTGGTATAACCATAGGTTTCGTCCCTTTGGTTTCGGTTTGGAGGTGTTGTTCGGAACACCTTAGTTTGAGATATTGTCCGGAATATCTCAATTTGATAAATGCTGTTCGGAGCATTTTTGGTTTCGTTTCTGATTCGATGATGCTATTCGGAGCATCCTGATTGCCATGTTGCTGTTCGGAGCACGTGGTTCTGTTTCTATTTTGACGATGCTATTCGGAGCATCCTGATCGCCATGATGCTGTTCGGAGCACATGGTTCTGTTAGTTCGACGGACTAGAAGACTTTTGGAAAGATCTTTTGTTATCACCAGCTTATCACCATTGACATTTCATGAGGCATTGGACATGGTCTTCATCGACATCGGTATATTTGGCGGAGCAGCTATGTTTTTCGCATTTTTTCCCCACATTGTTCGTAGTCATTTGTGTCGGTTTTCAAATTGTTGGTAAGTAATTACCATCAATTTGGGGGAGGGTATTAGAGTATGGGTAGTACGAGTAGTATTATGTTATACTACGAGTACTGTTATGTAATTGAGCAGTGTTATATTCCTTATTAGAGTCGTAGAAGTTAGGTAATTTCCCTATTAGTGTTAGGGTTATTATAGAAGTCAGTCTCTGTACTCTATATAAACCCATGTTGTTTCAGTAATAATAGACAACCGTTTCCACCGTATTCAGATTTCCTAACAAGAAGATGGTGGATGACGAATTATACCACTCGCTAACAAGTGGTATATAGCTAGATGGATGGGGTCGTGCTTGCAGTTGCATGCTTCATCAATCTGCAACATATCAATCTTCTCGGCAGTCGATCGAGTTGCAGGCCCTCTGCTCTAATCACGAAACAACGTGACACATCAAGCCAGCTTGCTTTGCGACGAAGCGACCCCATGCTGCTAGCTACCTAACTTTACTTACGTCCACACACTAGCTAGCTAGAGCAGAGACACAGACAAGGGAATTGCATTGGAGCCCATGCATGCATTGCAATTTGCATGCCCACTCTTTAATGGCGCTCTAGATACGGTCTAATTTATGAGGGGCGACAGACTCTTCAGTATTTATCAAAGTTCGGGTCCACTTTGCCATATAAGGTCCAGTGAGTTGAGCATGTGATTAATTAGCACTATGTTGTGGCTGGGAAACGGTATGGAGAAAAATGGTTTGATGGCGTGGTTGGTCACGCTTTTTAGAGTGTTATTTGCCTTTCATTATGTTGTTGTTGGTAGGAATTAGGCAAATCATTCCCAGGAGTTCCTTCAACCAAAGTCCGAAAGCAACAACTTTCTGACTTCTGTGTTTGTATTTTTGGAGAAGGAAAAACGAGGAGAAGAAGATGAACGTTAGAACTCAAACTTCTGGGCAACGTCTCTTATATTATGAGAAAAAACGGCAGTTCCCTTCTCAAGAGTTACGTCGTTTCGCAAAACTCAAATTCAATTAATTATCCGAAATTAATTAATAAAAATTAATTCCAGAAATTAATTAAATAGCCAAAAAAATTCAATTCCGAACGCGTCACGCAAATGTGCTAAGTGGGTAGTGCGATTTAATATGTCAAATTAAATAGCTCACACTTTTTCGAAAAGTCTACTAACCATTTTATCCAATAAGCTAAACTGGAAAGAGGAATTTTACAATGTTATATAGTATTGGTGCTATAGGTTTTTTCCTTTATGGTACAACTTGAAGTTGTACCTTTAACGTTATGGTACAACTTCATATTGTACCTATACTCTTTTGTCAAATTGTTTTATTGTACAACTTAAACTTGTACTTTCATTTGATGGTACAAGTTTAAGTTATAAAGTTGTACCATAACATAAGAGCACAAATTCCTTTATGGTACAACCTGAACTTTTACATTTAACATTATGGTACAACTTTAAGTTGTACATTAAAGCACCAATACTTTATAGCATAGTAGAAGTGTTCAACTGAAAAACAAACTTAAAAATCACTTAGCTTGCATCTTCCTTCTTCCACCAATGTTGTATTTCCTTTTTAACTCTTTTAACATGTAGCGTAGAGATGAAGTGAAACCAAAGAAACATGCTATATCCTCCGCCCTACACCTGCAAGGCCGCCAAAATTGTGTTTCCTTTATGTAGATGTGCAAAATATATAACTCTTCAATCTTTGTAAGTAAGCTGGTGAAACTGCTGTATACTTAAACATGTTGGTGCAAATCGTGCTAATTTGAACAATTGGACCATACACTGCAAATGTATTCTCTAGTGCCCAACATATTTTCATGCCAAGCGAAGAACTTCGATAAACCTACTCGACTTTACATAAATGATGGAGCATACACATAGATTACAAACTAACCCACTGCGAGTAGTGCTTTGTATGAACTCGGATAAGACCACTTATAACGACGTGGAATGCTGGCTTGTATTGGTGGGAACATAACAGGAATAAATAGTTAAGGTACAAGCATGTAAATGTAGGTTATTTGTCAGCGGTGGAATAAGAAATTTGAATGAGGAAATAACTTTAATTATGGTGATTGGGGAGAGATCGAGGGATTAAATCCTTACTGATTTTTCTACTTCTCAAATTTGTACATAATTTACATATAATTTTACCTATTTCTTCAAAGTTGGCGGAGTATAAAACCTAGCTTTTAGCTTTGACTACCTTCAAGTTCAACCTAGCTCCGCATTGTTTATGGTGCAAGCTGTAAAAGTCACTAGTCGCACGTTTCATTTCTTGCTAAGCCTTCCTTATCTCCCAACGAGGACAGTAAGTAGTGCAAGACGAAATAGATCAGTAAGTAGTGCAAGACGAAATAGATTCACTGAGAAGTAAGAATGGCAATGGAGCAGGTCCGGGGTGGGTTTCTTGGTACCCAGACCCGCCCCGTGGCAGGTCGGGTCCAGGTCGGGTAATTGATCACGGGTCGCGGGTCGGGGCAGGTCAACCCAATGGGTATGCAATTTATATGAAAACATTAGAAATATTCGTTATTTTTATTATAAGACTAAGAAAACAAACAATATTATGATAATTGTAGTTAAATTATTGGAGAAATTGAGGTTTTTACTAATTTACAACTTTATTATAGCTAAAATATGATGTAATGAAAGGAAAATTCTAAGTAATTTGACTAAGATTACATGTAATTTAGACAAGAACGGGTCGAGAATGGGGCGGGTCAGGGCAGGTCGGGTCAATGAGACTACCCATGCCCGCCCCGCCCCGCCTACAGGGCGGGTCGGACCCGCCCAAAACAGGTCAAACATGTCGGATAAAACGGGTCAGGTCGAAATTGCCATCCGTACTGAGAAGTGAGAACATTGGGCCAATTAAACCCAACTCGAAAGTCCACTAATACTTAAACCTTCTTTTTTAAATACAGTGGGCCATGAATCCAACGAAGTCCTGAGTCCTCTCATCAAGTCACATTAAATGCAAAAGCAGGCAATAGAGTTTGGGGCCATAAACGGGAAGCATATGTTGGGCTTTCCTTATCCAGGCCCGAGGCCCTTCTGCTCTGTTTACTTCTGATACGGGAATCGTCGGATTTGCCTTTCCCCGGCTCCTCATCCTCCTCCTCCGCCAGCCGGCAGCCGGCGTTCAAAAATCCCCGCGAGCAAATACCTCAGCTTATTGAAGTACGGTTGCATCGTCAAGCTTCTCATTCTGGAATAAAAAAGGCCTTTCTTTCCCTCGTGTGTGCTTTAACTCCCTCTTGCGTGACCGTTGCCGCTGTATGGTTTTTCTGAGCTGAATACCCTAAGCTGTAGTAGCAATCTTTGTCATTCGCTGGCCCCGTTGATGAAATCAACTTGAAGCTAATTGATTTCTGGGTAAGTTGTCCTACCCTTCTTTGATTGATACTGTTTTTGTATTTCTGAGGAAATTGATCCATTTCTATTTGAGTTAGGTGATGGTTCTGCACAAACCCATTTCTTGAATTCATTCATGTGTTTGCACTTTGCAGGATGGCCATGGAAACGTCTTGTCTGTTCCATTCTCGCCTGCCTGAAACATTCAGGGGAAGGAAAGCAACCTGTTTTAACTATTCTAGGACAGAAAGAGCTGAATTCCATCGCCACCCTGATGAATTTAGGAGCATGCTAAGATGCATCTGAAAAGCTGGTTATTTAGACGGTATGCCAATGGTTAGATCAGTTTGATTGCGCTCCAATTTGATGATACTCAAGAAATGTTGGTTCCTAAACTTGAAACCTTGCTGAGCAAGCAGATCACTGTTCAGCAGGGGAAACAAATCCATGGATGCATTATTATCAACAGACTTTATTACCTCGAACCTCTGCTGATTCGCCAATTAGTCCCCTCATCTCGCAGCTACTCCACTGGTCTTGCACATTACGTTCAGGGTATTCTCCACCATTTACAGAATCCGGATGCCTTCTCGTGGAGCTGCACAATTAGGTATCTCTCTCAGGAAGGTCAATTTAAGGATGCTTTCTCTCTATATGCTGAAATGTCGAGAGTTGGACTTTGTCCTAGTACGTTTGCTGTATCTTCTACCTTGAGGGCTTGTGCTCGTATTGTGGATAAGATTGGTGGTAGGGTAGTTCATGGTCAAGCTTACAAGTATGGATTGTGTACTTGTGTCTATGTCCAAACTTCCCTAGTGGATTTGTATTCCAAACTGGGCGATATGGGCACTGCACAAAAGGCTTTTGATGAGATAGTCGATAAAAATGTGGTGTCATGGAATTCAATTCTATCAGGGTATTTGAAGTCTGGGAATTTAGCAGAAGCAAAGAGAGTGTTTAACTCAATGCCAGCCAAAGATGTTGTGTCGTGGAATTCAATGTTATCCGGATATGCTAGGGTGGGGAATATGGACCAAGCCTCCATTATGTTTAAACAAATGCCTGAGAGGAACTTTGCTTCATGGAATGCAATGATAAGTGGATTTGTCGATTGTGGTAGGATCGAATCTGCGAGAGGCTACTTTGATAAAATGCCTCAAAAGAACAATATTTCATGGATGGCAATGATCTCCGGGTACTCTAAATGTGGAGATGTCGAGTCTGCCAATGTGCTTTTCAGTAAGCTTCCCAAGAAAGATCTTTTATCATTCAATGCCATGATTTCATGCCTTGTTAAGAACAGCAAACCAAAGGAAGCCCTTCAGTTGTTTGACCAAATGCTTAAACATCACGTGGATATCCAGCCAGATAAGTTGACTTTGGTAAGTGTTATCTCTGCTTGCTCCCAGTTAGGTGACTTGAGATTCGGATCATGGATTGAATCATACATGAAAAGTATCAAAGTTGAAAGAGATGATCATTTGTGTACTGCACTAATTGATCTATATGCCAAGTGTGGCAACGTTCAGAAAGCAAGTGAACTGTTCAATAGCCTTGAGAAGAAAGATGTGGTCGCTTACAGTGCAATGATATTAGGGTTTGGAATAAACAGCAAGATTGATGAAGCCACTAAGTTGTTCAAATCAATGGTAGATGCTCGTATCCCCCCAAACTCAGCCACATTCACGGGACTCTTGACTGGTTATTGCCATGCTGGTTTGGTTGAAGAAGGCTACAAATGCTTTGCCATGATGAAGGACCACAAACTCACACCTTCGACTGATCATTATGCAACCATGGTCGATCTTTTGGCCAGAGCAGGAAGACTAAAGGAGGCATATGAGATGATTACAAGCATGCCAATGCAGCCTCACACCGGTGTGTGGGGAGCTTTGCTTCTTGCTTGCAAGGTGCATAACAATGCACAATTGGGAGAGATAGCTGCTAAACATTGCCTTGAGTTGGAGCCTGAGACAACTGCGTATTACTCTCTTCTCGCTGACATATATGCCTCAGTTGGGAAGTGGGGTGAAGCTAGAAATCTGAGAAAAGTCGTCAAAGAGAAGAAGTTGAGGAATTTGCCTGGGAGTAGTTGGATGGAATCAACCACATAAAATGTGCTACTTTTCTAACTGATTATATCTGTGCATTGCGATTTGCTGGATAGTACAGAAAATATAGGATGCAGGTTTCCTGGACGACTTGAAATAAAATCGATTCTCTGACAAGGTATGTTGTCTTCCAGACTTCCACTTCTCAAGGCTAGCTTGAAGAGGGATCAGAAGACTTGTACTGTGGTGACATCCAATGTATCAATGTATCCCCAAGACAAATGGATTTGAATTCCAAAATTCTGTCTGTTTCCCTCTTCTTATTTGTGGACTAGAATGAATACCGGCGGCTATGCCTCGAGATCTAAATTTGCAGCAGCATGTTCAGGGTTCGTTATATTATTGTCAAGTGGTCTGGGTTTTAGAATATTGGAAGTTTGGTTGGCGCCCTACAACAAGTAATTATTATGATTAAATAGAAGTTCAGTGTATAGTAGAAACATAGGTTTCTATCATTGATGAACAAAATGCCTATCTACTTGGGGTTGCTGAATTTCTTTCCGACTGCAGTCTCTGTTTCTGTAGGATAGTAACGCTAATATGTATGGGGTTTTGGGAGAAACACATTTCAAGTGCTACATTGAAGTACTTGATCATTATCCTGGGAATAGTATGAGGATTGTGATATATTGGAGACTGGGACACATGATGAAGCTAATGTTGCAGACAGCTTAGTTCAAGCCTCCATCTACTTGCTCAATGGTTTTTGCATCCCGTCTGTTCGTTCTTGTAATCTTGTCGTCTACTAATTAGCCGCTTCAGCTGCCACTTGTCTCAGTCATGTCAGCTGAACTTTTGTGATATAATGATGCAGCCATGCTCAAAGCATCAAAGATTCTTAGCAGAGAGATATTGTATAACTGTATATTCTATAACAATATCTCTCTATATAATTATTTATGCAGAGAGATACTTTAGTCCTTGGCGGGATCGATTCAATCCGAGGAAATTCTTCCTTTCTGCTTTCTCATTCTGATATCTGAATTCTTTATCATCTTGAATCGTTGGGACTTGGGAGTACCACTTTTCTTGTGAAGTAAGATATGAGCAGGTTCAGGATAACTCATGCCATGAACATTAGATAGATGTCTTCCCACATAAACAATTCTTATTGGTCGAATCAAATTCCTTAACCAACATCGGTAACTAATACTCAGGCACCTTCGTTGAAATATTAACAAACTAAAGAATCTAAAGAATCGTGAAAGGTAATTTCTTGGCTTCATTTCTATGGCGAGAGTCTGCATTGTACACGATCTTTATAAATTTAGAATTGAATTCATAAAAAATGTACTATCAAAATCCATCATTTGCTTAACAGTTTGGTCATCCACCCAATGTATTATCAAAATTTATCATTTGCTTGAACAGTTTGGCCATCCACCCAATAGTTGGCGGCGCTTCCAAATCATGGATTTTAGACAGCTTTGAGTTACCTGTTGCTGGTTATTTTCAACTTTCACGGCTTTAAAAGAAATTACTTATTGGTGCTTAATTAACGTCATCGATTGATCGGTTTAACCATAACTTGTATTATAATTCTGCCAAGTAGATTCAAAAGATTTCGACCATAGATAAATTGTGTATAAAGATGTGACTTCCTCATCGTCGATAATCAACCCAACAAAATTATATTTAGATTTTTTTTATAATGAAAATTATATTTAGATTTTGATCTTGATCTTGATTTTGAAGAAAATTCTACAAGTTATAGACTGGGGGTACAAATAGAGTCAAAATTCATTTTCGCTCCACTAAAAAATGAGAATATATACTTTCATTTTCATCTCTATAGCACTGTTTATTGTATAATCATACTTGTCAAATAGTCATAAATTCTAGCGAACAAGTGTGGCCTAGTGGTAACTGGTAATACCACTAATTTTAAACCGGGGGATCCAAGGTTCGATTTTTTATGAGTAACACCTAATTATAAAAGTCTATATATATCATCCTTATAAAAAAAATAGAAATGATAGAGAGTTCATATTCACTCTTCAGGGTTTCTCAGTTGGGTATGGCAGAATCTATATCTATCTATCTATCTATCTATCTATATCTATCTATCTATATCTATCTATCTATCTATACTATATATTATGGCAATTCAAAAGTAATCTCTTGCCACATAAGCACTTGGAGGATCCACAATTTGCCAAGTTGGACAACTTTTTTTTATAAACAAAAAAGTAGTTATTAATGTATTTATGGAGCTACCTCTCTCTTCTTTAATATTTTCATTTCTTTTATCCAATTATTCTTTTTCATTTATCCTTTTTTTTTTTTTGCTTTGATAATAAGTTACATGTTGATAAACTTAACCGAACACACATAAATAATATTTTTTGTCAAGTAACAAAATATAAATAAGAAAATAGAAAGTGACATATATCACATTTTTTAAATAAAAATATCTAATTAAACTTTATGAAGTAAAATTTCTACTCATTTTTACTAAAATTGAATGATAAGTTACATTTTGATGAAAAAATTAAACAAACATACGCATAAACAATAATGTTTTTATCGATTAAACAAAATATATATATGAAAAGAGAGAAAATAAACATTTGATATTCAATTACCTTTGAAAAATAAATTATATTACTTTATATTTTGTTGCAATGAAACACTCTCTTATTCATAAAGTATATGTCTATAAAATAAAGCAAGTATTATTTAGCAAAATGCCAGGGTATAATTTTGATCGAGTAGTTACAATCATTTATTTAAAAAAGACTTCTTATTCATTCAGATCATGTTCTATCTTAAACTCCTCAAATGAAGAGGGATCGCATTTGCAATATTTTTATAATGTGTCCTAAGTTCACATTTACAATAGTTGCTCTATATCATGTTGATTGATCAAAGCTCTATTGAGATCCTAAGTCGTATGCTAAGAAATTTTCTTTCAGACTTGGAGTTATCGTCCACGATTATAAATCAAAATTTTCAAAATGACTTAGATATGATTGTTGACGAACTTTTACTTCATACCCTAGGATGAGACACAAGATTCCTTGAAAAATAAAGGTTGGCAATTTTTAGTAAGATAGTCAATTGGGATAAACATATTTATCCATCAATCAAGTATCTTTATCCAATAATCTCAACTCTCAAAATTGGTTGTCAGTTCATCCAAACTCGAAAATCACGACTTGATATATGTTGTATAAGATAATAAGTTAATGCAAATAATCAAATGAAATCCACCGATATTGTTCAAATGATAAGACATTTTAAATGCACTTGAAATATGTGTATAGTAGACACTCTTTATCAATTATTAATATATAAGTGATAAAATCTTTGAAAATTACACATTCAACGACCATATTAAGACCAAAATCCTCGATAGTGTGTGTTGAGTGTCTTAGATTGTGATTCTAAGCCAACATATAAACAATGACCACGGGTTAAGGTTCAGTCTAAACTTCATGAATTAACAACTTATACATATTGTATAATATACTCAATTTAAGTGTCTTGATAAAAAAAGTAACATCCAAAATGGAAATGAGTCGAGATAAGAGAATTTAATCATCATGAGGGCTACAGTGTGTGTCAAGTTTCAATTTGGATGAATAAATTGATCCAATAACGAAGTAGCTTTACTAAGAATTTCTCACTAAAAAGTCCTAATCTTTACAACATTGGTCGAGATTTCGTCCAAACTCAGGGATCGTGAATGTGTATTGGATTTCTAAAGGACCTAAAATCCCAATCTCTTTCGAGGGCTAAATACTTCTGATCACAACCATAGGTGCCAAAGAAGAATGAAAAGAAGCCCAAAAAGGCAAAAAAGAACATAACCTCTGATACGATGAACATAATAAAACCATATCGAGTTATGATCCTGTCATCCCTACCCTTTTATTCTCCATAAAGGGAGCGGCGGGAGAGAATATGAAATAAATAGCAGGATCTTAGGATTTGCCTCTTATATATTACATATCGAACGATAGACAACCCCAATGGTTATTTGATGTTATGGGGGTAAAAGCATGATCTTTATCCCGGGGGTGGGTGATAAGCAAGTAGCACTTTTAATATGAGTATTAGGCGATATAAGATAGGTCTGGCGAAGTATCTGGATGATTTTGAGCCTACTATATATATACACACATATATAATGTCAAGGTATACTATACTTTTGATTTTACTCCAAATACGATATAAGATAGGTATGCTGAAGTATGTGCATAAATTAGAGGTTAGAGAATTAGGGACTAGAGTTCACTTATTAGAGGTTACCCAAAAGAACTCCGGTTAATATTGTGTAGTGGGATATCCAGTATTTCAATTATTGTTGATCTGATTTGAAAAAATATATTATGAGATGGCTTTTATTTGATGTGTCATTTGGATATGTAAGACTGATATATTTTGCTACAATGTCCCAAGACGAGTCATGGTAGAAAAACTTCTTGTTTAAGTACAAAAAAAAGCATTTTGGCATCACAATCTCTCATTTTAGACGTTGTCAAATGTGTCGAGGGAGCCGGATATATATATATTTGTGACAAATGCCTACATTTACATTCTTACTCATCCAAACGACCTTTAAATCTTTTCTAACCCTCATGTGTTGTCATGCTTTAAAATGTTTCTAAAATGCAATATTATCCAAGTTATTAAGGTTGAGAGCGAATATGAAGTTTGATGATTTAAGGATTTGAGAAATGAAGGAATGAACAATTAAAGAGGTGGATTTCTAATTTATTTTTATTAATGCAAAAATTAAACGGTATTGTATATTTAGATGTTTATATGAACGCGTCTATAATGCACCACAATTTCTTGTAAATGATAAACAACTAATTTGTAAATATATACAAATAATTTATACCACTGAAAAGATTCGAACCTGTAACTTCCAGGTTCTTGATTTAGTTACGACCTGAATTGTACCACACCCATCACTCCACTTGATACACTGAGATATTTTATATAGAAATGGCACCAAGAAAACCTAATTGATGTTTCATCCCAAAAAAGGAAAA